TGGAAGGAAAGGGAAATATATTTTTCTGTAATACACATTGGCAACAATTAATGAGATCTCATATAGTCTACTACTACACATGCTTTATCTTTAACTATCAACGTTCATGTACGACACAACTGACTGTGTTGACGAGGACACTCGCAAAGACTGGCGTTTTGACACATAATATGTGTATTTGAACGTTTAAGCACAAGGCGCAAAAATGTAATAATCAAACTAACCTAAAAACTGCGGACGATGGCGCTGTTTTTATCTGCTCCATGTGCCCGGTCCACTTGCTGTTTCACAACTTCTACTCCATCATCTTTAGTAAAATAACCTGATAGCTGGGGATTTGACTGACTATGTTTTATCTGCTGTTTGTCTTTTATGTTTTTCTTTTTTTTTTTTTGAGCCCCTCTCTCACATTTTTTTAGAATAGCTGACATTTTTACTTATCAAAGATTGTTCTTTGCATGACCATTTCCAGATTATGCCAGAACGAAGTCAAGAGTGGAGGGGAATGTGGACATCAGGCGCAGCGATCACCTGATAGATACGCGTACAGTTCGTTCAAAAGTCAAATACAGAATAAATGCATTTGATTGGTAAACCAAATTCAAACGTGACATTTCAATAACTAATGGTAATACATGGAATAATAATAGTGCTAATAAATGGGGGCGTGGTGGGGCTTTGGCGATTGGCGCTTCAGTCAATCTACTCCACAGCCAATCACGGGCCCCCTCGTTGCTCGGGCCCTGGGGCTTCAGCCCCACCTAGCCCTATTGTTAATCCGGCCCTGCGGACAATATAGTGTAGGCAGATTTGTAACATTTCCTGTTGATTGGAAGTCCTAAATGTTCAATGCTTAAACTCTTTTCCTACTTTTATTTATTTATTTATTTACTTACTTTCTATTTTGTGCTATTTTCTTGACTTCATTGCTTGTGAAGCTCAACAATCTGTTGCTGTACATCAAAACTATATTCTTTGTTTTGTTTTTTTTCTCATTGTGATGGACAATAAAGGGAATTTGGCCTTTATGTTCCTTCATATTTATATTCCTGTGAAACAGGAAGTCATGTCTGGATAATTACTAATGTTCCTAGTCACCCTGGTGTGCTAAACAAATTTAAATATGAATGGGAATATAGGTATTCAGAAATGTTACTCATAATAATTTCTAGGACTACAAATAATTGTGGCCAATGTGTATTAGAGAAAAAATATTTTCATAATG